TGTTGCGAACTACCCAACCTACGACAAGGAGTTCTATGCACTATATCAAGCAATCAAGCATTGGAGGGTGTACTTGTTGGGGAAGGAGGTGGTCGTGCATTCGGATCACAAGCCGTTGGAGTTCTTACATGCCCAAACAAAGCTACAGCAGGCGCGACACATGAAGTGGATATCTTATTTGATGGCTTTTAACATCATTATTAGGTACAAGAAGGGGGCGACGAACAAGTTGGCCGATATGTTATCTCGCCCGCCGATAAGGTCTTTATTGGTGGCGACGCGTATTCAGCCCTTGGTTCCTTTGGAGTATGTACAGCTGTACGCATCTAGTAGAGACTTCGGTAGTGTGTTTGAGCAGGCGAAGGCTGGTCGAAGGGGGGAGTATGCACTTGGAGAAGATGGCTTGTTGTATCGTGGGACATCAATATGCATTCCAGAGGATGGTGATAGGTTACAGTGGATTCGGGAAGCACATACCTCGCGTGTGCAAGGGCATTTTGGCATTTAGAAAACGCTTCTCAATCTACGGCGACATGTGTTTTGGCCACGGATGCTTGATGATGTGACCAAGTATGTTGGATGGTGTAAGTTATGCTGTATTTCAAAGCCTTCTAACAGGAAGAGGGGATTGTACCTACCATTACCGGTTCCTTCTAGGCCGTGGGAGAGCATTTCTATGGATTTTCTAGGAGGGTTGCCGACTACGAAGCGCGAGCATGACTATTTGTACATTGTGGTGGACCGGTTCAGTAAGATGGTGTTTTTGATTCCTTGTAAGAAGACCGTGACGGGAGCGGGTGCAGCACAATTGTTCTTTGAGCATGTGTGGAAGCACTTTGGGTTGCCGAGCTCATTTTTGGGATTCTTTGTGGAGTTTGATGGACACTAAATTGAAGAAGAGCACGGCCTTTCATCCACAAACAGACGGACAAACGGAGGTAGTCAACCAGACTATGGTGCACATGTTGCGGGGGTATAATTCCAGGCATCCTAAGAATTGGGATGAGAGTTTACCATATTTACAGTTTGCTTTTAATTGGACGATTCATGGATCTTCCGGAAAGTCACCGTTTAAGACTTGTTATGGATTTTTACCGCCGAGCCCGTTCGATCTTGTGTTTTCGTGTGAAGCCACAGTGGACGGCAAGGAGGGGAGTGAGAGACAACGTGCTCAGCGATTTCTTGAGAAGATTGCAAATATTCATGCCACGGTTGAAGCTCAATTGAAGAAATCACAAGCTAAGTACAAGGTGAAGCATGATTAACATCGGGTTCCTTGTAACTTTGGTAAAGGCGATATGGTATGGCTAAAATTGAGTAAGGAGAGGCTAAAAGGAGAAGGGAAGAAGTTGAAGCCTATTCGTTATGGTCCGTTTCGGATTCTCGATCAGATTGGCGACAATGCTTTTCGATTAGATTTGTCGTCTTACTTAGGCATGTATTCGGTTATCAATGCCGAGCACTTGAAGTTGTTTGAGCCTCCGTTATTGGATGATGAAGGTGATGACAAGATGATCTTACCGCATGTTGAAGACTTGTGGTTTGATAGAGAGGAGCCACTGAAAGAAGATTGTATTTTGGAACGGAAGACGACCAAGACGAGGCGGGGGACGAAGGAGTCGTTTCTCATTGGACGTCAAGGTCAGGTTCCTAGCAAGGCTAAGTGGTTCAACAGAGAAGGAGTTGCTCGCGAGTTCCCTCAGCTGAAGTTCTAACTTGAATGGGACTTCAAATTCCTAAAGGGGGGACCCATGATACGGGTGTATCTTCTCTTCGGGAGCTTAGCGATCCTCATGGGAGCTTGAGGATAGATGATTCTCATGGTATCTTGAGAATAGAGTAGAGGAGTCGTGGATGAGGTCATTGGAGGCGACGAAGTCAAAGGATTCGACAAAACTTTGGTCACAGCGGTCGACCGCGTAGTGCACAGACCCAGACTGTGTCTCTGGACTGAGAGCGGTCGACCGATGTAGGTGCTGCGGTCGATCGGAAACCCTGTAATCAATTTTTCCAGAAATCGATGTTCTGGCCGGTCAACCGACTTGGTCACAGCGGTCGACTGCGTAGCGGTTATGGGCCTGGGCCTGTTTCCTGCACCGTTTAGGATTTCTATTTAGTATAAATAGAAACACGACTTTTCTAGGGTTTAGCACTCAGATTGTAATCAGAAAAGAGATCAGGGAGGTTGTTCTTTGATCTAGAGAGATTGTGAGAGAGAGATTTTGTAAATCCAATTGATTCTCATAATCTAGAGAAGGTATTTTCCTTCGCCCTAATAATAACTCTTGTGTTCTTCTGTCGTTTTCTTCTCTACACACTCTTGATAATTCCGCGATCAAGAGTGCTCGCACGGCGACTCGTATCACAAAGTGGCTTAAATAATCTTGTAGCAATTAAGACTGGTGGTGAGAGGATCGTAGTTGATCGCGATGCAATAACTATATTAGTCAAAAAAATACATGAAAGCTAAAGCAGCTATAATGATTAATGGATGCCACTAAATGTACAAATTATGACTTAATGAAGGTAGAAGTAAGACAACTTGATTGGTAACAATTAAGAAGGATTTGATAACGTTAAACTTAACAGAGGAGATAATTCTTAACGCAACTGGATGGAAGAACAAATAATCATATACCTGGCCAAAATTGATTGAGAGAAGTTTGGAATCGTTCGGTCGGATATAATTGTTGGGTCCTTTTGTTTTGATAATGAATAACAAACAATTTACATCTAATGTTATTTATCTAGTGTTTGTGTTTTGTATTTATTCTAGGAAAACAACAAGTTGGAGGATGGATGGAATCGAGCATAACGATCATATCCAATGGATATTGGCGGAATTGTGGTATGAAACCTTACAATTCAAGTTAAAGATCCAAGTTCCCGCTTCATCCGCAAGTTTACCAAGAAGAGCTTATTGAAGATCAACAATTCAAGTTAAAGATCCAAGTTCCCGCTTCATCCGCAAGTTTACCAAGAAGAGCTTATTGAAGATCAAGATCATTGCTTGGGTAAATAGGTTCCCGCTTCATCCGCAAGTTTACCAAGAAGAGCTTATTGAAGATCAAGATCATTGCTTGGGTAAATAGCTTAGGTTTTATATAATGTGTGTTGGTACTTTAAGCTCAATCGTATACACACATAAAATGATTATATAGACTTAACAATCATTATATACATATTTTATTAAGTCTATATAATCATTTTATAAAGTTTCAAAACATGATTTAGTCAAAATGACAAAACAAGTGTTGTTCATTTTTATGTTTTGGACTATTTTGTAAAATGAAGAGATTTCTCATTTGGGAGGTGCTTTTTGAAAACCAGTTTTTGTAGCATGTTTATTATCATGTCTACAATCATTTTTCAAAGTTTTACATTTTTCTGATTTTATTTGCTATTTTTAAAAGGAGTTTGAAAATTAGATTTCTGTTTCAAAACAGGCTGATAACCTGTTACTGATGACATCAGTCGACTGATGTGTCGACTGAAGAAAACGTCTGGAATAATAAAAGGTTTCTGTTTTGTTTTGGTCGACTGACCAGTCGACTGATGAGATCATTAGTCAACTGATAAGGTCGTCAATCGACTGATGAGCTAAAAAATGCCTCTAACGATCAGCTCATCAGTCGACTGATGAAAGCCGTTAATCAACTACATCATCAGTCGGCTGATGCTGTAACGGTTAGTTTTTTCTAGCATGTTCTAGTTTTGGGTTTTTGGAATTTTTGTCTTGTTTTCTCTTGGCTTTAGGGTTCCTATAAATACCCGCATATATCCTCAGTTTTATTTACTCAAGAAAAATATTTTAAACAAGTTTAAGAGTGTTTTAACAAGGGGTTGAGTTTTGGTTTAAGTTTGTTTAAAAAGCTTTTAAGCATTTGAGAGTTTGTTTTGTGGAGATAATTTCACAAGAGCTTGAGGAAGATCATCCATTAGCGTTTGAGCATTCAACTTTTCTCCCTCTCTCTCTTAATCTATAGAGAAGTTTCCTTAAACTCAATTCTAGCTATTTATTGTTTTGATTCTAATTTCCATAAGCTAGAATTCTAGCTATTTATTGTTTTGATTCTAATTTCCATAAGCTAGATTTCAATATTGAGTTTAATTGTTTCATTGATACTCTTTGTTCACACACAACCTATTGAGCTTATTGTATTTACAATACATTCATAGTATAATTTGGGGTTGTAGGTTTGTGACATTGAGAGTGAGCTTAATTGTGTTCTCATCTATTGTAAAGAACAAATTTATATTTGTGAGCCTAATTGTGAGTTGCACATTGTATTACACTTGGACACCGAGAGAAGTGGTTGGTGAGAGACGGGGTCGGTTCCAAGAGGAGTGGGGTCGGTAATAAAACCTAGTGAGAGGTGGTGATTCCGAATACTTGAGAAAGGTGACACGAGCTAGGCCAACACTTAGAGGGTGTAGAGTGTGACTGCAAATGTCTAGTTGTAAAGTTTTCGGTGAACTAGAAATCGTATTGTGAGGTGTAAACGTTATTCGGGTGAGCGTAGAAAACCCGGTTGTGATAGTGAATTTCTCCCCGGGAGTGAGGAACGGAGATGTAGGACGGAAGGTCCGAACTCCGTGATCATATCTTGTGTTTGTGTTTGTCCTTTGCGCATTATTAAGTGTTTATTTACTCTTGTTCATATATCCATCTATATTGTTAGGATATATTTGTTAATAAGTTTTAATCGGCACTAATATCTAATAAGATTAGCAATAACCCTATTCACCCCCCCCC